ACTGTGCTTATCTGAGACCCTTTAGAGTGTTCTGATTCCAGCCTGCTTGAATATCTCAGGAGAACTTAGGGACTTCACACTTAGTGTTTTAATTTTCAGTTAATTTGTGCTACTGGGAGAGTGGGTGACAAGTAAAACAGTGTATGTACTCTTGCATTTGGTTATGGGGTATTGGGTTTTTTTAAACTTATTTTTTCTAGTTTTAAGGATATACTCAGCCAGTCTTGCATGTGTTCAGAAGGATTATGGTGTGTTTTTGTCTTTTAAAAGAAGTGCAGTAACAAAAATCTGTATTTTCTGTAGTTAATTAAGTTCTTGCATCTCCAGTCCTACAAGACTGTTATCCTATACCCTCTTGTCAGCTGGTGAGGCCATGAAATACTCAGTGGTAGCAGACTAGTTAATCTAATTACTCTGAAGTAGAGGGTGTGGAAACAAAAGCATTAATTTTAATTTTGTGTTAATTCATAGTTATATTGGCTTTTCTTTCCTTCCTGTTTTGTTTGAGTTTATATAAATGAAAATTTGTCAGTCTTTAAATTTTTGCATGGTTTCAGATTATATGCAAAATGTATTTATGAAAAGACTGATGTGATAACCATGTTAGATGTATGCTTGATGAATTAAATAATTGTAATAGTAACTCCTACTCTGTGTTATTCAGTGTAAAATTTTTTCAGGGATACTGCTAGTTTTTTGTAATCCAGCAACTTCTTTAGCCTATAACAGAGACATCAGAGAGAATATCTGTAAATCCACATTTGTTTTAAACTGACCCAGTGCAGACTTATTTTTTTCTTGTGGTGAAGTGAAAACTGTGTTGCTATTAACTCTTGCTCTTCCTGGGTGAGTTTAGGTCAGATTGTCTATTAGAGGACTGTTCTGTAGTCACTGGATGCAACTTTCTCCTTGATCTTCGTGTGACGTTTCATCAGTGGAGATTAGTGAAGGTGTCTGAGTAGTACCTCAGAAGCCTTGCATGAGTGTCTTGCTCAGCCTGGGGAAGGGGAGACCTCACAGCACCTTCCAGTACCTAAAGGAGCTCCAAGAGAGCTGGAGAGGATGTGCAATGATGGGACAAGGGGGAATGGAGGGAGGTTAAGATTAGAAAAAGAGAAGTTTTTTGCTGTGAGGGTGGGTGAGGCACTGGAACAAAGGAGTGGTGTCAGCCTTATCCCTGGAAGTATTCAAGGCCAGCTTGGATGGGGCACTCAGCAGCCTGGTCTGATGGAAGGTGTCCCTGCACATGGCAGGGGGTTGGAATGAGATGAGTTTTAAGATACTACAGAATGGTTTGGGTTAAGAGGTATGATTTTATATATATATTATATGTAAATATAGTATAGGATATTGCCTAAATATATAATCCTAATATATAATATGATATATTAGGAGCAGTGGAATTCCAATTTTTATGTCTCCCAGCTGGATCTTGAATAAATACATGGGTTATACAGGTCACTTATTGATTGTAGAAAATTCAGTGTAAGGTCATATTGCTTGGTAATTTCAGAGTGGATATGGATATGAAGGAGGGTTATGCAACAAGAAATCTACCCAGGTATTTTACTGTGGTGAGAGGGATGGGCCTAAACCTGATGAGAAATTACTTAAATTTTTTTTCCCTCAGCTGATAGCTTTTGTTCTGCTGATTCACATGGAACAAGTGTTTTTTGTTATAACTCTTCAATGTAAAAGACATAGAGATTACAGTAGATACTTTTAAACATTTATATCAGTGATTATATATACTGTTGAATGTGTTTTTTACTATACATTTGATTGCAATGTTATACTTATGAGAAAAGAATTTATTAAAGCTGGGCCTACTTGGATAGGAACTCAGAATTACCAGTCCAAATAGTGCTAATCAGAAGTTATCTTCTTGCTAGAGTTCATGATTAAAATGCAGCAGATTGAAATAATCTGTGACTTAATCTGAACATCTGAATTCATTTTATAGAATATGGCAAACAGCTGCATTTCCGTTTGGAGCTAAAACAAATACAGTGTATCGACCCACTGAAGATCATTGCAGGCTTTTCAGTTCCATGATAGCTGTACTTGTAGAAAAAATTGATTTGAGAGTGCTTCTGCTTTTGAATTATCTTTTTTATTTTTTTTTTTAATCTCCGGAAGAAAGGAAATAGAACATACGGAGGATGGGACTTTGATGTGTAAAGAAGTTAATTATCTAAACCATCAAACAAAATGTGGGCTGTGGAAGTAATTATTGTAAAGGGTCTGATGAGGCCTGACAAGCTGTTGGTTTTTTATGACAAGAAAATGCTGTACACCTGCTTGATTTGAAAGTTAAATCGTTTGGTTGCAATAGGAGGACCCAAGTTTGTAGTGAAGCAGTAGCTGATAAACTTCCAACTCTCAAACCACTGAGATGTACAGCCCTTCAAATTTTTTTAATCAAACTGTTCTTGTCCACTTGGAGGGAAGGAACTTAAAAAAGGATTTACTCTAGAATGGGACAAGCATGAATCACAGGCCTTATGCTGTGAAAAGGCAAGTGTGGAATTGGGCCCCATGGTTTTTGGGAATTTTGGAAGAATGTTTCATAAATTAGGAGAACAGAACCTCATGGATAAAGCACAATGTCTGTCATGGATATTCAAAGAAAACAGTTATATTCCTCAACTGATGTAATTAGATTTTAAAAAAATCTAAATTAAAACCTCCTTAAATCTGCATGTTACTCAGTTTTTAATGAATACACTGTCAATTCTCTATTTAGGAATATTGGTACTATGGTATTGAATAGAAAAATATAGCTACTAAAATTAGTCCTAATTAGTCCCAATCAAATGATGAAAAATAAAATACATATAAATTTCTAAAACTTCAGGCAGTTTCTGCTAAGATGGGTACAAAGGCAACTTCCTCTTAACTCCCTTCTATGGATATATAGAATTTTCCTATAAATATTGGCACCTTTCTTTGTTAAGAGTGTTTCTACTTGTTATTTCATTTTTAAATTCACTAATTTGACTGTTTAGGTTAGAAGACTCTGGTAACTGCTGATTATGGCAGGATCCAGACAACACTTTAGCCTTGTGTGTAACTACTCATGTGATTAAAATCAGACTTGAGTGGGAGCAAACTTGTGATTCAAGTTACACATGTGCTTAAGTGCTTACAGAATGAGGACCTAAATTAGAATCTGCCTGAAGATGAACTGAAGTCTGATAATCTACATGAAAGCATTAATAAAAAAATTAAACTTACGACACCAAGTTGGGTGGGGTAGGGAGGCTGCACAGAGGGATCTGTAAGGGCTGCATCAGTTGATCAAGGCCAGTTTTATGAGGTTCAACAAGTTCAAGTGCTGGATGCTGTCCTTAAGTCACAATAACCTTGTACAGTGCTGCAGACTGGGGCAGAGTGGCTGAAAAGCTGCTCAGTGGGAAAGGACCTGGGGAAGCTGGTCAACAGCAGCCGAATGTGAGCCAGCTGTGCCCAGGTGACCAGTGGTATACCAGCTGTGGTGTGGCAGCTGGGGCAGGGCAGTGACCGTCCCCTGTACTGGGCATGGCTGAGGTCACTCGAGAGCTGTGTCCAGTTCTGGGCCCCTCAGTCCGGGAAGGACATTGAGGGGCTGGAGCGTGGGCAGAGAAGGGAATGGAGCTGGGGAAGGGTCTGGAGCACAGCTCTGATGAAGAGCAGATGAGGGAGCTGGGAAAGGGGTTCAACCTGGAGAGTGGGGGGGATATTTCACTCTCGCTGACAGGAAAAGATACCCAGGTGGGGTCAGGCCCTTCTCATGTGTGCAAAGCTATAGGAGAAGAGGAAACGGCCTTAAGTTGTTCCAAAGGGGGTTCAGATATTGGGAAAAGCTTTTTTCATAGAAAGTGTGGTCAAACATTGGAACAGGCTGCCCTGGGAAGTGGTGGAGTGGATTTCTATTCTAGAAAACAGTCTTATCCTTTGAATTTTAAAATGGAGGGAAGTAGGATCTCTTCCAGCACAGGAAGCTATCTATATCAACATAAAGCTTTTATTGTAGCTACTACAAATAGTGCAAGAAATGAGCAATACAACTCAGCTGTTACTAGTGTGTAACAAGCTAGAAGACTAAGAAATATAGTGAGATTATATCCTGTTTATCAGGGGACTTACACAGTATGCAGTTTTTATTAATTTTTTTGAAGGGAAAAATGAAATTCCCTTTTACATATTTGTGGAGTTTTCCATAATTAAATTTTGCTTAGTCAGTCCTTTAGCAAGGAATTACTTTTTTAAATTATTAAATTATTTTTTAAAATTAAATAGTTCAAAGCCATTTGACTTGCATAATATTAAAGAGGGAAATGTAAATTTGTTAATTACTTCACAGAATAAGAATTAAAGTGTCCTGGATTTGCTTTGGAGTTATTGAATGAGATATTTATATAGAAAAACTGTAAGATACTTTGTGTAAATATAGTACTTGCACTGGTATGAGTATTATGATGGTGGTCAGGTCTACTCTTTCTAATGCATTACTGTTTTAAGAATTTTAAGTTGTGTGTGTGAGGGGGTTGTTTTATAAAGGAAGTTTCTCATCTCTGTGCTTATAAAGTTTTAGCTGGCTTTTTGTGAGACTCTTTTTTACTCTTAGCCTCATTGAAGAAGGTGTGGATGTGATTTACTGGTGGTTAGGATATGCAGAAATATAGGAGGATTGGGCAGCAGAGGTTCTGGTATCTGTGAATACCATCTATTCCAGAATAGTGGTGTTTTCATCTTAATGCTTTTATACTGGTACATTTAGGATACTTCTAAATTGTATTTTAGAGTTAGAGCACATTTCCAATACTTTGGTTACAGTAAACATCAACTCAAGCTTTCTAGAGCCTCACATAGGCTTTTTTTTTGTATGCAGAACCTTTACCTTCCATGTTACTCCAAATATCTTTTCTTGCTTTCAGATATCTAGTGTGAAACATACATGTGCTCTCTTGGAAATGAAATACAAGTATTGCAGTGCTGTTATTTCTTTGTTTACCCAGATGAGCAGCACTGTGGCCAGTCCGATGTCAGCGGTTGCTTCTTCAAGCAGTGGAAGAAAATCAACGAGCTTTACACCTGAATTGCAGAGTATGATGTGAGTAGTCAGCCAAAATATCTGGTAGTATCTGCATTGTGTATTCATCTTTTAGCTGATTCCTTAGAATGTGTGAGTCGGGTGATAGGGGAAAGAAGAGCAGGTGTTAGTGATGGAGCTGTTAGTGTTTTACTTCTGATTTGTAAAACATTCAGAGATGACTTGAGTAAATAGAACCCACATCTTCTATTGAAAGGAGAGTAAACGCTGCTGAGTAAAGAAATGTGTTTTTAATATTTAGTTTAGAAGTCTTCAGAGTGCTATATTTCTCAGACCTTGATCAAAGAAAGCTAAGCTTCCAGTTGTCATAGATATGTTTTTAAAAAAATACTTTCTATTAGCATCTTTCAGTGCTAATACAGAGAGATAAACTGCTGAGATCATAATATTGCTGATGAAATTATGATATGGAATGCTTGTAAATAACCGGGGATTGCCAGACAGGAAGTAAAGTTGTTTAAAAAGTAAGTTACTTATTATTTTAAAGGAACACGGGATTCTTAGAAACCGAGTTTCAGGCTGTGAAATGATTTTGTGATTTGGTGGTGAGAGTAAATGTTGTGTTGCTTTTAGTCATATGTTGTAGCTTTGCCTTCACTGTTGTATAACAATTTCTCACCTGAATTTACTACACGGGCAGTAGAGGCATAAGGAGTTACTTGTCTCCATTAAATTCTACAAAGAGTTCCCTTTGCAAGAGTGAAAGATGCAATTTGTTTTCACTTAAGTGTCCTTATGAGATCACTAGATTGTTGTCAGGTGGATAATGAGATATCTGCCACTGGCATATTTTTCAGTGTAATGTAAATAAGAACTTTTTTTTGTGCATTGAATGTTCTGATGTAGATGAGTACACTGTTACAGGCCCAGAGTTCTACTGTATTGAGTTTTCTTTGGATAGAAAAATATTACTGCTCTCTCTCCTTCAAAAGAATTGTTTGCTAATTGTTTGCATCTATTAAGGTTGTCTATGCTGAAAAATACAACTGTTGTTCTTGGTTGAGAAAAATAACTGTAACTGTGTTTGAAAAATAAAACTTCAGAGTCAAATTCTGTGCATCAGTTTGGATCAGTATCTGGGGAGCCTGCATTTTATTGGATTGTGGACTTCCTGATAAAGTGTTTTTAAACTCCCCTTCCCCGCCAGTGTACACACAATTCTGTCAGAATATAGAAGTTATTGTTGGCCATATAAATGTAAGGAATAGACATTTTCCTTCTGCTTCAGAACTGGTGAAGTTATCCTTTGAAAGCTGTGCAAACAGATCATCTGTGCTCCAGAGTAACATATTTCACAGCTTCATTAAACTAGTAGGAGCTGAGGAAATTCCTTGACTGCAATGAGGACATTGAAACTTAAATTTTTATCATTTGCTGTGGAAAAAAAAAGGAGACTTTTGAAAATGATAGAGTGCCAGGGATGAACCATGCAGAAAAAAGGACAACTGTTTCCTTTGGCCAGGGCCATAAAATGAAGTTATGCCTTTAAAAGAACTTTCTGTGCTCTGACAGAAGCTGACATTTTTTATAAACGATGTGATTTAGGAAGTTACGGATTCTCCTGTTTAGGCGATTTATAACAAATTCCTGCTGACATCTTAAGATCCTGGGAAATAGCAAAGACTGGAGCAATGCAGTGCAAAAAAGGTAACATCTTCTTAAAGAAAAGAAAATAGTGGCTGTCTCGTGGCTGTCTCTGCCTAATTTCTTACTGTCAAAGAGAAGGGTCACCTATCTGCTCTAGTTTTCATGGAGTAATATGACCAGTAACTTCAACTCGCCCTGCCTTTTTCAACCAAACGTGCAACAACAGGATGAACTTTTGAGAAATAAGTCATATGGAGACATTAAGTATTAATCCAGAATGTCATGTAGTAGTTTGTGTTCATTTTAAAAATGGCCTATTGGGTTTTAGGGATTTAAAAAGGCAGAAGGAAGAGAGAGAAACTGTTTTTGGAGTAGAATTTCACATCCTGTTGTAACCCAGTAGCAAGATCTGGAAATCTCTGGATAAGAGTATCTCATGGTCTGAAGGTGATATCTTTGGTTAGTGTATAATTTGTGGCACAGAAGTGTTGAGCCAGTGTTTAATTCCATGGAATGCTTAAATTTGCATGTAATGTTAAGCTTGTGAATAATCACATTTAAGGTGAGGAGGTTATTCATATACTACACCTGTTTTTGAACCATGGCACTGTAAGGGAATGAACTGAATCCTATTGTAGAATTGTGTTTTTATGATAAGCTCAGAAGGTTTTTTTTTTTAAATTTATTTGAGAAGGCAAATGTATAGGAGTCTTGAAATCATAAAATACTGAAAAAAAAGCTGTCTTAAAATCTGTACAAATTCTTCATTGTATACATAAATACTTTACTAATGAAATTATTCTGTTTTTCCATTAAGAATATTTAAGATGTATCCTTGGATTGGAAGAAATTTTTGTGTTTGTTGAGAAAAGAATCTGACTTGTATGATGCCTAAATAGTACTGTGTAATTGGTGATAGTGCATGTGCTGATTACCTTAAGAAGAATGCTTCTTAGTCGGATTGTCACAGATGATCCAAACACAAGTCAATTTTCAGTGCATGACCTTTAGCATAGTTATGTTTAGCTTTTAATTGTTAAGACCTTGGAATGAAATTATATTTATCTTATACTAATTTAAAAGAGCAAAGTTCTATGCAGAGCTTGCTCTGACTTCTACATCCTTTACTTGTATTTGGATTTTTTATTATGGTACCATGGAGTGTATAGTAATAGGTGCTAATAATTTAGAAAAGAATTTTCAGCACATCTAGTGCATTTTGCTGAGATTTGTTTTACTTAACTTTGTTTGGCTGATCTACAACCTTTTTCCAAACTAAGTGCTCACATTAGGTGGGTTGCACTTAAATTAGAGTTCTGCCCAGTCGATTCACAACCATGCTGATTTCACTGTAGCCATTAAAATTCATACTTTGGTAGAGATCATCTATTTTCTAATATAAGCACTACTTAGAGTGTGAATTTCTGGTAACACTGACAGTCTGAAGACTTATATTGAGCAATTTGCAGCTACAGAGGGAGGTTATAATCTTCCCTCAGTAAAATGCCTTGACTTCTCAAAGCTATTTTAAGTATGTACAAAAATTCTGATTACTGTGATCTGAAGTTTCTTAATTAGGTCTTGTGGTACGCTTCATAGCAAAACTCAATTTGATGATCTGAGGTTATAAAGATAAATTTTAATGGTGGAAGTAGTGAAGAAAGCAATGTTTTAATTTGGTTGAAGTCTTTCTGGGTATCTACTGTATTTACAGTAGTTAATATTAAAACAATAATATGCATTGCTATGATATCAAATTTATTGCTGCTCCTAATTGACTGTCTTTCCAGACAGTGAAAATATGTTCAAATATTTCAATTGCAGTTCCTAATCAACTTCCTCCAGCTTGTAGCTTACTCTCACCTCTGTTACGCTTCAATGTTGTGTGTGTAACAAGAGATACGACTAAATTCTTCATATTTCCTTTTTCTTTATGAATATAGTATTTATAATATTTTTCCCCTTTTTTAACATTCAGCAAATTATGGTAGAGACTAAGAATTGGGGCCAGTTCTTAAATCTTTATTTTATTAAGACTCTTTGAACCTGTCTCCCTGAGTCTTGGGATATTTACATGATCCCTGTTCCTAAAGGATTTGAATGGTTTTGTAATGTTGTTTAATATTCTGTAATATCTGTAGTAATATTTGCCATTTAGTCTGGGTGGTAAAGAGGGGTTCTAGACCTCTGGTCACTCCAGTAATATCTACAATGAACATATTTTTATTTCAGAGTTGTAAACACTGCATGGTATTTTTTTCCCCCCTATATACAGCATGAGCTATAACACCTACTATTTATTACCTGTTGCAGCCTTGCAGACTTGTAAATCAAATAAATTGCCTTTAGGGGTTTTACTTATTTAGGATTTCTCATCCATTCTGAGATGACAACATCTTAAGGAATATTATTCTAAATTTTTGAATATGTAATGAAATAACAGGAGGCATGGTCTCTGAACTGATCTGTTCTCCCATCAATGTATTTGGATAACCTCTGCTGACCAGTCAGATTACAATTTGCTCACCACTGAATCTCTGGGACATCTCATTGATTTCTTCTAGTATCTGATGCTAAATTTATTTTCATATGCAGAAGTGAAAATTCTGTTTGATAACAGTGCTTATTTATGGTAAAATAGTGTTTCCTTATCAGTTAGAAAGTTTAGGGAACTTGTTGCTCAGCACTGAAGAAATGCCCACTGCATGTAGCAGTAAAGAAAAGCTGTGATTCAGGAGCTGTGCCTTGCTAGACTGGTGTGTATTTGTGTATTAATCCAGTTGTGAATTCTGTAATCACCCAAATACTTCAAATTACTCATGTTACATGCTAACTAAAAAAAAAACAACCACTATATGCATTTCATGCTGTTTAACAGGACTGTTGAACATTTTACGTATGTAAAATGTAAGTAACATTTACGTTAATGGAAGTAATTTAAGTAACATTTACTTAAGATAACTTTTGAAATACATTCTCTGTGTGTTTTCTAGATATTGTACAAAATCATTGTCATTCTTGCTGTTACAGTCAGCTCGCTACTTGGTCTTTGATAAACATCTAATTGTGTTATCTTAATCTTCAAAACACAAATGGCTTTTTTACATCTCTTTGTGACAGTGTGTCTTGTTGCTGCAAGTCCAGTTTACATTTGTTAAACTATGTCCTTGATTATTCTGTGGTTTTATTCTTTTATTTTTCTATTTCATCTAAATTTGTCAGCTTGATTCGCTCTGTGAGGCAGATACAAATATGGGAACTGCCATTTCCCTCGTGCCAGGTTCTTCATGCGGTTTTACCTTATGCCAGGTTCAGTTCTTCCTCAGGAAAAAGAGAGTTTTTAGAGTGTTGGCTTTCATATGTCTTAGGTTTCATGGAATGCTGAGCTCATGCAGACCTTGATTCTGCTTGAA